GCCCCTGCTGCCGCCACTCCCTTCAGTGTGAGCCTAGTGTCCTCGAGTGGAGCCAGTGAAGCTCTCCAGCCAAACTGCGTGAGTGGCCTTGTCCTGGAGCGTCACGCATCCCCTTGCTGCTCCCTATTTCTGCAAGTCCCAAAAGCAAAAGAGATGGCGAATCTTATGTTCAACCTGCTCGGCGCAGGCTTCGCTTGCTGCTTCCGCATGGCCCGCTGGCCAGTTGCTCGTCACGTATCCTTCGGTGCCTTCACGGAAGCATCTCGCCAGCTTGGTTTCCTGCCCGAGCGCTCCCACCAGCAGTTCGCAAGAATTCATCCCGAGGCTCTCCTCCGACCTTAGTGCGGCAGATCCTGTGCTCCAAGCCTTCGCGGCCTCAGCATCCCGGATCCTTGTGCTGCCTCAAGGCCGGAAGACGGGAGGAGCCCACACTGAGCTGACCTCTTTGATTCTCTTTGGAGGAGGTGCCCGCCTGGCCGGCCCGGCATCGACCTATTTCGGCTTGGGCCAGTTCCAGCTTGGAAGCTTCGAGATGTTCGCTTCGGTCGAGGCGTCGCTGCAGAACGCCTTGCCTTGTGGACCAGTCAAGGCCACTTTTGGAGCTCATCCCGAGAGAGAAAAGGAGAACGAGGCTGGCAGCCTGGCTTGAATTGATCCTTTGTGGGCACAGCTACGGGGTCACCGTGGCACGCAGCGTTGCACTTCAACTTTGCACCTGTGGCCTGGATGTCCGGGGCCTGGTGGCCATCGACCCACGTTGTTTGGACTTTGCATCCCTCGAGCTCCTTTCCGCCGAGAGCCTCACCTCAGTGCCCCGCAGCCTCGCGCAGTCTCTGTCCTTTCCGTTTTATCGCCTCGACGCGCTGGAGCTCGAGTTCGTTGCCCCACTGGGGCCTCACAAGGCCCTTCGGGCTCGGGTTTTTGTGCATTTGGCCAGAGGCCTAGCTGCATCCTGGGCTTACCAGCTCTCCAAGCGATCGGCGTACCATCTCCTCGATGCCGACCATTTCAGCGTGGGTGGCGTGCAGGCTTGGGACATGTCCGACCGCATCAAGAGGCATCTGCGCCGCTGCCGGCGGCGATGCCGGCGAGTGAGCGCTGACTCAGGCCAATGTGCACCCCCGAGGCAGTCCAGCGTGGAAAAAGACAGCCGCAAATGATCCAGGCCGAAGCCTGGACGTCTCAAACTTGGCTTGGGCTTTTCGGGTACACTTTCTACTCTTTCTACCATCTAGTTCTGAGGGATAGTACGAATCACTACTGTGCAGCTGCTCAGGGATTGCATTGCAGTCTGGCGCGTTTTTGTTCTGAGGCCGTCCATGCTCCGCCTAATGCTTGTCTGCTGCCCCTTCACTCGTGATCATGCTTTTGGAGCCGTCAGCTGCCTACATGCGCTGGGGGGGGAGGGTGCGGGATTCAATCATGTTGCCCATGTAACAATATATGCGGCAATCCAGCGACCTACAAGAGTGCGAGGTCTAGGGCCCCAATCTTCGCAAGCCCTCGTAGTTCTTCTTGTTACTGTTGTTGCAGGTCCTTCGTGACGCTGCTGCCTTTGATTGGCTCACTAGTTTGCGAAACTTGCCACAACGTTCAGAAGCAGAAAGCTCAGCTACGCCTTGAGTCCAGCAAAAGCATCTTGAACGCGAGGTTACAGCATGATGACGGGATACACAGTTTGTAGACATGCGGGTGTTGCCAAAGCTGCAGCGTCCGCAACACATTCTTGCACTGCTGCACAGCTTCTTTGCTGTCGCCATTGCAGAAAAGCTGGTTCGTGATGATCTTTGGCCAATGTTCGAACTCTCGAAGCTGCTTTCCATTTTTAATCATTGTAAAAAAACTCGTGCTATGCTTGTTTATGCAACTTTCAGCAAGAATCCAAGGACCTCGGAAGGCGAGTTGTTCTGGGAATGTTCTATGACGCAGTCGCAGATGCTCCGTTGCCGCTCGCTTGTCCTAGATAGCGATTTTAGGGCGGTTTAGGGCTTTTCATGAGGATTGGAAGGTGACCAAGCAAACAGTAGGGCTTTGTCTTCCGAGCAAATCTTTAGAACCCTGGAGCCTTTGGGAAGGCTCAACGCCGTAAACCCTCAACCGAATTAGCTAATTCTGATGCTTCTTGAAATCTTGCCAATGTCGAAAGGCCCTGAGCCTCTAAAGGCTTGACCTTACTGAAGCCGCAACTTCCGATGATGCTTGCTGGGTGGGTTTAATCTTCAGCCGTCTTGCTGGGGCGCCTCCACAAGATTCCCAAAGTTGATTAGGAGTTCGTGATCTCTCTGTGTAAAAACCCACAGCGTTCTCCACCTGCTCTGCTGCGAGTGGACGTGTAAGGAATGCACGGCTGTGGTCCGACAACTTGCTCAAGGATGCCTCGATGGTCAAAACGGTGAACGCCAGCTTCTCCCGGCTGCGGTTGAGCATGGAGGAGAGTTTGGAGGAACGAGCGAAGCTGATGGACTTTGACATCGAGGTGCTCCTGTCTTTCTGACAGATAGATGGGGGATCCCTTTCTTTGATGGCAGCCGAATGGCAGGTGCCCAAATGGGAGTTCTTGTTTTTTGAAGGGCGCTTGCATCGCCGAATGGTCTCGATCGCTTGACTACGTAGTTTCGTTGTGATACTGCACCATAGACCATAGTCCTGTATCGAGGCTGAGGTCACCGCGCAGTTACGAGCTGCAAAGCCCGAGGTAAGCTTTCAACACCCCAAAACCCCCGAAACCGAACAGCCGTTGCAGGTCACGGCATCTATAGCCGGTGGCTTTGCGTCCGTGGCGGCAGTGCCAGGTTTCTGGAGGTGAAGCGAGAAAGCAGATACAGTGCCGAGGTCGTTACAAACTACCATATGTTGACCCGAAGGACTGCCCCAGTGGCCGTGAGGCTTTAGGATTCAGGATCTGGCTTTTAAACTATGGGTTGTTCTTTTTGTCCTGTCCTCAGGACCACCTTGAATGTCAATGACCCCGAGCTCTGTGCGGGTGCGTTGGACGTTCGCCTTTTTCCAGAACTTGAGAAGGCTACCCATATGGTGACAGGGATCACCCATGGCAGTGGCATGAAGTTTGAGAAGCTGAAAATTTGGGCTGAGATCAACCTGCTGTTCACCTCTTTCAGGTTTGATGTTTACAACCGGGTCAAACACCGGGAATCAGAATCCCCGGACATTAAGAACACATCTTTCCAGATTCTTAGCGATGTCTTCGTGGAGTCTGAC